CCTAGTGATTCTATGATTCTAAAGCTTACCCTTACTAGCCAGATGATTTGCTGAGTGGAGCTGAATGAAGATGAGTGTTTGGGCCTCCGCACATTTAAACATACCTCCTGGATACAGCCTTGTCAAACACACAGAGCCATTTCTGTTCCCCTTTGCAAGAGGACGAAGAGCACAGGCAAGGCATATGGGGGCAATATGGAATTGTGAGTCTGAATTATGTATGGGTTACACCCTTCCTTGGCTGACGCAATGCTTTGCTTCCTTGCTCTAGAGCAACCTTGACCAGCACACACACCATAGAAGCAAGCAGTGAGATGCTGCCTGGTAACCTCTCTGGTTCCCACAGCAGTCTGGTACAGAATTTCGTAGCAGTTTGTGTTTTATGATACTACTAGATTTTCAGCAGGCCACAGATTAAAATACTAGTGAGATCACATTGCCTTGAGGGAAGATGGGGACGCACTGGGGCTTTGAAAGACTGGGCTTTGAGTTTTTGAGCCAAGGGAGGCAGCAGAGGTTTTTTCATTACATGTGCCTCCTTTTCTTGCAGATGAGAGCAGTCACTTACGTCTGTGGGAGAATGAAGGGCTAAAACATAGGACCGGAATTCCAATTCAGTCCTGTCGACAGCAGTCAGCCCCCTTACTTATCTCCTGACAACCTCTGCCCAACCTTTAGAGCCAAACATGTTAAAATGAAAGTTCTGCTAAAATGATCAGCTATTAAAGAGGTAAAACATTGCTATCTTAGAGCAGCACTTCATATCTAATTTTAGCATTGGAGAAGCTTCACAGCTTCAAGAAGACAGTAAAGTGCAGTGCTATGTTTTTAAAGTTTAATCCATCAACAAAAAGATTAAACACTTTCTTTCACTCTCTTCCTGATGGTGTAAAATCTGGGGCATAATTACAGAGGAAATTCCACAATCATGCAGAATGACTGAAACTCTAGAGCTGTACCCACTCACGGGACTCTTACCTAGGGCTCTATTGATCCCCTGATCCTTTGCAAGTGCCATAAGGAATCCATAGAAGGTCAGTCTCTGTGCACTACTCAACATTTCTTTCACAAGAGCAGCAGGTGGACAGCTAGGAAAAGAGAGACAAAGAGGTCACCTTGTATTTTAAATTATCTTTTTTTTTTTTTTTTTCCCAAGACCCAGCTCAAACTGGAGAAATAAGCCCTCTTTACCTGTTCTAACACTGTCAAGTTGCCCTGACTCAGTAAAAACAAATAGCTGCCAGCTTTCTTATTTAACATTGCATCTGCTCCTCATTTGCTAAATCAAGATATTTGAGCTGGGATACATCGCTAGGAGCAGTCTTACCTACCCCCATTCCAAGGACAGGTAGAAAAGCCTAGATTCATTCAGAGGCATAAATATCCAAAATCTTAGCATATTCTTGCAAAAATCAAGTAGGAAATCCTTTCTTTTAGAAGACAATAAACTTGCATTAAGGTTGGTCAGTGATGGTCATCCAAGGGGCAGGAAAACCTCTCCAACAATAGCCTAAATATGTCAGAAAACAATATTTAGACGTGAACTAAATTCACATGTCCTCCTCTACACTCACCTTAACCCCTGGCCCTGACCTTTAAGCAGTACTGATTCTTGCTCTTGCCCAAACACTCCTTAAAATATTTCATGCAAAATATAACTGCCTCATAAAGAGGAAGTGTTAAACAGTCCGTGGTGTAGTGACACCCCTGGGAGATGTGGGTGTGGGCTGGTGATCCTTCAGGCAAAGGTGGTTACCAAAGCCTGTCTGACTATTGAGCTGAATGATGAAAGGATGAAAGGCTCCCCTCACAGTGCTGTGTAGAGCCTGACCTAGCAGATGGGCTCACAATATCCTTTCCAGCTGAAGCTCTCAGGACATACAGGGAACGTATATGCTTTGGTTATTTAAAAGAATCAAACAACCTGGCATCTCCGTGCTTAAATGTCTATAGTACTGGACAGCAGTTCAGCAGTAATTTTGCGGATCACAAATTTGGATTAAGGCACCTAAAGCCGGAATCAGGTGGAACTTGTGTCCTGAGTCTTTCTGTGGATGTAGCCCATGACCTTCTAGCAGGGCATGTGCTTGCTACCTGCATGAAATTATGAGGCAAGTGTCTGACACAGCTGTACAATAAAGTCTGGTATTGCTCCATCCCGTGCTGAACTAAGGCTAGTCTTGTCCCTGGGATCTGTAACTGGAGACCAGCTCCATCGCAGGCTCCGGTACAGACTCGCAGTGTGATTTTGTCTGGGTACTAAGTTTTCAAACTCTATCCACCCCAGCGAGCCTTTGCTACGCTTCATCACCCAAGAACACAACTCATGGTGGTAGGTGGACTTCTCGTTGACGCAAGTGTCAATGCAGAAGTGGGAAGGAAAGCAGAGGCCCAAGTCAATCCATTACTTCAAGAATCAGCTCAAACCCCGTGTTTCTTATGTCCATGAAATTGTTTCCTTTCTTTAAAGTGGTTTGGCTATGATCTCTCCCTTCATACTTCTCCAATGAGGTCTATTTGGGAAATAGAGCTTGTTCTAAGCCTTGTATTTCTGCACAGCTCCAACCTTACAAAGGGTCTCCAGAGATGCAGACTTCAAATCTGTGTTCTGGACTTTGTTCATACCTGTATTTTGATCTGTCACACAAGGACTCTAGGCACTGGCAGAAGAGAGATGCCTCTACCCCATTGAGTGGGCTGCAGTCATTTGGGGGTTGTCGCTGCCGATGTTGCCCAGAGGATGATGTTGGCACAATCACAGTATTTGGATTCTTACCAGCCAGTAGGTCTTGATAAATGGCAGCCACACTTTCCAGGAACTCTGAAAAAACAGTAAGTGACTTAAAACTCTGGGCTATAACCAGTAAAGCCTCCTTCTGACCTACCAGACTTGGGATTAAACTATCATTCCCTGCTCTGTGTTGTACATAGAACCAGCAGGAAATAAGCACAACACCACGGCATCCTGCATATTCAGATCAGATATTATGCAGGCACAAACAGCCATTTCCATATAAGTTGCTGACTTCTTCCTGTCAGCATGATTACGAGAAGTCACTCACTCTGTTGAACAAGATTCTTCTCAAGGAAACAGGGACTAGCTAGCACATGGATAAAACAGAGGAGCACAAAAGCTAATGTAGAACACAAAACTAGTTTGCAAAGCCTAAAAAGTTTTCCTTCTCCGTCTCTTGCTACTGACTAAGAATGCATCCGAGTTGGGAACAAACTATGTGGAACTACAACAGGAGGAAAGGGAGCAAGTTAGTCAGGGCTCCAGGCTGTATCCCAGCTTGTCTCTGTGTTGCTCCAAAGTAAATATAACACGGGATCTAGAGGAAGGGCCAGGGCAGGTCAGGGCTAGAGTTGGCAGAAAGCCTCTCCCCAGACTCCTCATACTACCCACTGTTTACTGCAAGAGTCTAATTTTAAACAAGTTTGTTTATGGATGTGGTCAGCAATTTACAAATCTAGATTCCATTTGGAGTGGTTTGCATGTGTGTGGGTTGGTGGGACAGCGTGTGACAGGCTGTGTGTGTGCGTGGTGCCTGGGTGAGCAGGACAGGGATGGAATGTTTGAGTGTGTGCACACAAGGGCGGGCTTGGGAGGATTCCAGTGGCATTTAAGTCCTGAGTGACTGGAAGTGTAATGCTGTGCGTGAGGCAGGTAGAGAGGAAAGGCAGGATATCAGTGGGCCCTGGCACTGTGCTGAGGTTCTGCAGATCTGTGGAAATATTTGCTATATCAGACAAAAACTTTCCAACATATTTTCTGTCCCCAGCTAACGGCATTACAAGCGTGGTTCTGCCCAATCCCAAACGACCATTTTCAACTGTTTTTCTCTGACGAATTGTCATGGATAATGTTGCGATACACGCAGGGGAGTTACAGGGGAAGTATACACAGAGAAGCACTGAGAAAAAGAGATTTTTGTATTATGGACAGCAGCTGACAGCCGCTAGAAAGATGGGGACTGGCAGGTTGGATCAGATCAGCAGACCACTCTACTCTCTGACCACAGCCTATCCTCCACCACAGCTTCTAACCAGTGTCTCCCAGTAGCCAAACCTGTCCCTTTTTGCCTGGTCGAGGCCACTTGTGAGCTTCGTCCATCAGAGGGAGCTATTTAAGTGCGAGTGGACAGAAATCCATGAGTTTTATGTTGTCTTTAGAAAGTGCTCCGTGCTGGGAGGTAAGTGGCACCCCAGCAATCCCTAGTGCTTGGGAGCATATCTCACTGTGATAAAGGAAATGCTTCCCTCTTTCTGCCCACTTAAACAATGCCCTGAATGAGATTCCCTTTCCTCAACTACATTTTAGGGGGTCTCGGACAAACAGGCCAAAAAAGCAGTCTCCCTGTACAGAACAAGTACCTGAATGCTCATTCCAGTTTCTCCCCCTTCTCTCCTGAACTTTGGTTTGAAAATACCTGGGGATTTTTATAGATGTGTGAGTGAGAATATGTAAATATACACATAGACACACACACAAATATTATTTTATTTGTACTTTTCCTGTCAGGAATTTTAAAAGTACCACCCCACGTAGTTAAAACTCAAACTGGGGGGAGGGGTACAATATGATAAAGGAGCAACAATATGAAGAAGCTAGAGGGGGATTCACCTCCCCTTCCAGCTTAGGGGCTCTCAAACCAAACAAGAGAGGTGGTTCCTCATGGGGCAGGTGGCAGACTGTGCAACTCCTTGCCAAAAAAGGTGTTGTGGAGGTTACAAGTTTATCAAAGGGGAGGCGTCCATTGGGCGTTCCTAAATCCACAGAAACTATACCCAGTTCTGAAACTCTTTTAGCTGAAACCAGCTCCTAATTGGGTGAATATTAGGGGGAAGAATTGTATCAATTTGCCCAGTCCCCTTTCCTTTCAAGGCACCAGCTGCTGAGCTTTTCTTATCCTGTCTCCAGCAGGGACCAATACCTGGGACACAGAAGTGCTGTATTAAGGAAAGGAAAAAAAATGTTCCTGGTAAAAGTTAATTGTTAGGTGCTAACATACTCTGCATTAAGCTGAAAATTTATGTCTCAAGGCTAAGACAAATACATGCAAAAGCTGTAACAGTTACAGGTATGCTGTTATTCTCAAAAATTTGAAACCTCCTTAAGAGGCCTCCTAATCTCTTGGCATCAGTGATGCCTTTCGTCAGTAGATTCAATTATCTATTTTCTGTAAAAAAATGTATCCTTACAGGTTTCAAAAAAGTGCAGGGATTGGGAAGCTGTTAAGTTGTAATGCTATACTAGTGGGTGCAGTCAGCAGCTCCTCAGCATTTACCTGAGTAGTAGAACTGGATCTGGAAAGCAAAGAGGAAATCAGAAAAAGACATCAGGCAATCCATAGCATCATCCACCAGCACAATCCTAGGATAAGATGAGAGATACAGTTTAGCATCTACTAAAGAACTGAAGTCTGTAACCAGGAACCCCAGATCTAGAGAAAGCGCAGCTAGGGAGCTGTGTGCAACTGGACTGCCAGTGGCTTGGTCCAGTGCAAGAGGTTAGGAGTGAGGAATAAGAACACCCACTGCAGCATGGATGTGGACACCCTAATATAAAATGAAGGCAGCTTAAGAACCTGCAGTGAGGAGAAGATACTGAATATCACTGCTATCACACACTTCAGCTACAGTGTGACCAGAGCAGTGTGACGTGGATGTCAAGCATTTTAAGCCAGGTGGGCATGATGGAATGAACACTGGCATAAAAACTGCAAGGCTTGCTCACATGGCTATATAAAGAGTAACTGTGCTACAGACAAAAACCAGTTACATGAGTGTTAAACTGGTGTAAGCAGAATGAGACACTATTCCTCTATGTACCACAGTTCATCAGACTGAGATATATTCAGATTGATAAGGATATTCCCAATCTATACTCAAACAAACTCCACTTGACTACAAAGGAAATAACATTGCACCAACAATCAGCTTTCTAATTACGCACCGTGAATATCCTATCATCCCTTCCTGGTGAATGAATCTGTCTCTCTTCATATCTATCAGCTCTATCCTTTGACTATCAGGTCAAATTTCGTGGGAACTGAAGACTTCTTGGGCCAGGGACAATGTCTTCTTTTTCTCTGCTAACTCCCAGGTGCATGTAGGGAGCTACATGCATCTCTATTTTGAGGCATACTTCATGAATATGGAAAATCTCAGCCACAGGCCATAAAGATGAAGATTAAGTGATAGCAAAGTCCGACTCCTCCTTTCAGGAAAAAACCTCTGGATTTCAGAAGTAAGTAAGTTAAGGCAAAAACATTCATCAAAATGAAAACAAAACCAATGCTCTGTTCACTGCTACTATATGAGGATGAAAAGGTCAGTCTCTGAAGTGGGAAAAACCAAACTTGGATTGATCAGACCAGGAAACAGAAGGAAACACTCCACTTTGATGGGAAAAAACAGGGTATTCAGATGATTCTAAAGAAAGGCAGTTGGTACTTCCTTTCAACTGTGTGCAGGTCTACTGACCCTGTACTGTCAATACCTGGCATATGTCATGTGAGAAGGATCACCAGTCCGTTGTAGCCAAAGTATGGGTCATCTAGTAAGACCCTTTTGAACTCAGGGCCAAATGCAATCCACGGACCGATTCCTGCAGCATGATGGTCTAAAGACATTGCTGGGAAAATGCTGTTCTGCCTCATGTAAAAGACTCCAGGGAGCTGTGTGGGAGGCTGACCTAGAAGAGTTACAGGATCTTGCAAGACTTCCCTGCCACTCAGACCAGTTCTGTTCACTGTGGCAAAATCAAACATGCAGAGCAGCTTGAATTAATTATCTCAAAGAAGCAAGACTGGGGCTAAGAGGGTCCCCAGGAGAAAAGCCAGTATTTAAAACAAAACCCTTTGAAGATGTCAAAGAGCTTCTGATTTATTTATTATGTTCCAGAAGCCTCCTCCTCCTCCTGTCTAAAGAAGCAGTAGCTTCAGTTCTTAATTCTCACTAATAAGCATGTTACTGTGATTGTCAGTGGCCACATCAAGGAAATGGCTTTGAAGCTGGCAGGCAGAGCATCTTCATCTCTCAGGCAATACTGCTCAGCCACTGGCATTTCCAACCACTATTTAAACGCTGTAAATCTGATGGGCCACATCACTGATGAGCTGCACTCCCTCCTTTGAAACGATGGCCTGTCTCCCAGATACCCTCAAAGCACACGCTCCAAAGCTTTTGCCAGTGCATTTCTCCATCTGGGAGACGCAGGAGAACAACAGTGGAGATATTTTTTTAAATGTATTCTTTATACAGAGAGACAATATTACATCACCTTCATAACAATCCACTCATTTCACTTGTTAAATCTAAAGCTATGGTCAATGGCTGTGCTCTGTAATACCACGCCCCAGTCTTTTACTTAGAGAAGAACATGAAGTAGACAGAGGTCTGAGAATCTGCTTGATGTTTCTTGCTGTTAAAGACAGCAAGGAGCCTCTGAAGAACACTGTATGGCACATATGTGATGGAGGAGTGTCTAAATAGAAGCAGGTGCACTCTGGTGCTGGGTTACTGACTCCACTTGGCCCAGGAGTCTGCACTCCGGAAATGTTGAGAAGTCCTTAAATCCAATACAATCATTTATGAGGAGATTGACTGCAGCTGGCTATTTCCCCACACAGCCAGCTGACTGAGCAGTCGGAGAAGCTGGGAGAGCATCATACGCAACATAGCTGCACTTTTTCCCTCTGAAATATCTGGCAAGCAGAGAATCCTAGCCATGGACCATAACACAGGCAGCAGGACCAAAATCGAGGACAAAATCTGAGAGTCTGAACTGCAACTCAAAAGAGAGTTCATCGGGTAGCTGATATTTCAAGTGATTCCTTACTCATATTCTCTTTTCCAAATTAGACTTTAAGCCCTCAGGGGCACAGACTTATTTACAAAGTTAGTAGTCAGCACTCAATGAATAATGAAAATCAAGGAGAAAGTTTGGAAAGGACTGAAGAAAGATGCCTACACTTGAGGGACTCTGGTAAAGGGTGTAGTGGTCTTTCAGGGTTCA